TCACCTGGCTCCCATTCAACGATCAATACGATCCGAATCCCCGACCGAGATAACCTATATCCTTAATCTTTGATTCCTTGATTATGGTCAAAAACCAACTATCTATTGCCCTTAGATACGAATTCCAAGTTAATACACATTTGAAATTATTTCCGATATATCCTAGCGGTTCTCCCCCACTTGGAATCGGTCCCTTCCTAACGACTTCATGACTTTTACTATACATCCACAATCCATAGTTTCCAGACCCTAACCATTCCAGCTTGATCACCATCCATATCAATAAACATCCCAACCATAAAGCCTTTTCAAAAAAATTGTCCAATTTAACTAATCAGGTTGATCCTACATTTGCTCTACTGATTGAACACACTTCTTGAATGTTATCAGAACCGGGACCAGACTGACTCCTTTCGAACCTTACTGGCACATCCCAGTCGAAAAGGGATCCCGCATAGATCCAAAGTCCTTCTAGAAAACTATTCAACGCTACTCCGATACTCTATTTTTGGGTCCAAATATATCCATTGTTCTACACTTGTAGAAAGATTGATGCACACATAGCATTTTCAATTGATACTACTCGATAATTCTCAAACAATCTCATTCACCGAACCAAAACCCATGCAAAAGTGCATCCATTACACCATGAAGTAATTGATAAATCAATAATAGCCTACATCTAGTAATGATAGTGATAAATTCAATGAGCCAACCCATCCTTTAATTGATATTCAACATGACCAACACACTCTCCTCTTAACTCTATTCCGTTTTTTCTACGAGGGACAGCCGGCTACAACGAGATATTGTCTAGAAGCTTCCAACACAAGGAGTGCATGCACAACCCTGAGAGCAGAAATCTGACAACAACTCACCGTACACCCGTTTCATGTCAATCTCTCAATCCTCTCCACCATAAAAGATCTCAACAGTCTCGAACACCAGAAATCCAATGAACTTACACTACAACTTCCTTAGGCCCATCGCGTGGAAACCATCAAAATCAATCTGGCTGCTGATCCTTCAAGCAGAACGCTCAGTCCTCCCCCGCTCAGGGCTTGTTCCCTCACTGGCCGACATCTTCCACATCGAAGCCTAAAACCGGTTCATCCAGGTACTCACTACATACAACTCTCGGTATGCAAAATGGCTTCATCCAGTTCGTCCAGGGCAGCCGACCTTGCCACGTGGTGCTGCAACGTCACAAAAATTATGAGGTAAAAATTTCATTTTTAATTCAACCGAAAACACCAATCAGCTTTTTCCAAACATTCCAAAGTGTATTATAATGAAACAATTATCAGAGTACAATCCCAAAATCATCATATTGCGGAAACATGGGTGGATGCGCTGCGATCAAGCTGGGCCCTTCCCTTTTGAACCGAAAGTACTTGAAACCATAGCCAAAAAACCGTAAGCACAAAGCTTAGCGAGTTCCCCAAAATACCACATAACATACATATCATTGGGCCTATCCCTCATATTGGGCCCAACCCACCATAATAGGTCCAACCCTGCCAAACCAATGGGCCCAACCCAACATACAAATGCAAGAGTCACAGACATAGCCAACACCGTACATAACATACAATGGGCCTAGACCTTCCTGATCCATGGGCCCAACCCAACATACAAATGGCCTAGCCCGTCATACAATGGGTTTAGCCAGCATACCATGGAAGAGTCACAAAGACAACAAACATAATAATTCCTAGTGGGACGACATTGGTGCCTTCGACCCACGACTACAGTGAGGAGACTCACCTCAATCCACTGATAGCCAAATAATTACTCGGCTTGTTGAACTGGATAATCTCGCACCAACTAACAATAAATACAACCCTAATTAATATTTAAGATAATAACCCACGAACGATCCAAATATTCCAAGAATGGGCAAAAGACCATTTTGTCCCAAAGAAGTCCCAAGCCAATTCACAGCTGATCTAAATTCAACAGGCCAACAAAAGTCAACGGAAGTCAAACGACTGAGTACGCCCTGCGTACTCAATCTACGCCCAACGTACGCCACCTTTGGCCAGTACGCGTTACGTACAATCTGGGTATGCCCAACGTACTCTACAGCATCCCAATCTCATCATTAAGTGCTTAAATGGTTAAGCCACTAAGTCCACTTCTCAGATCTGATCCTAAATAATGTCTTAACATGTAAAGTTGGCAACTTTACTCCTTTGGATGTCTTAATGGGACCCTAAACCCGTTTTTATCCATCTAAACCCATAATTTTTACATCAACTTAAGCATGATTCATGAAAACCCATCGAGATGATATTTTTATGGTTCCTAATAACTGCATAATGGATAAAGTTTCCAAATTTATCCATTAGAACGATCCAACCAACCAAGATCTAGTCTTTAAGTCTCAAAGGGACCAAAAGTGCATCTTTTCCAACTTAATCCATTAAGTCCAAGTCTCAAGCTTTTAGATCTGAATCAATATGATGTTTAGATGGGTAAAGTTTCTAACTTTATCCATAACAAGGTCACAAAATTTCAAGATCTAAACTTTATGCACTAAGGTGACCAAAAGCTCATAACACCCAAGGCTAGCTAGATCTATCGAATGCATCATCAAGATTCAAAATTTATACCTCTAGAAGAAAGATCAAAGCGAACTAAGTCTGGATCTACAAGATCCAATGCAACCAATGCTTCCCAGAAGTAGTACAGTTGCCACCTTTATATGTTAAGACAATATTTAGGATCAGATCTGAGAAGTGGACTTAGTGGCTTAACCATTTAAGCACTTAATGATGAGACTGGGTTGTTGTGGAGTACGATGGGCATACCCAAATCGTACACAATGGGTACTGGTCAAAGGTGGCGTACGCTGAGCGTAGATTGAGTACGTAGAGCATACTCAGTCGTTTGACTTTTATTGACCTATTGACTTTAGGTCAACTGTGAATTGGGTTGGGACTTATTTGGGGCAAAATGATCTTTTGCCCATTCTTGGAATATTTGGGTCGTTCGTGGGGGTATTATCTTAATTATTAATTAGGGTTGTATTTATTACTAGTTGGTGCGAGATTATCCGGTTCAACTACCCGAACAGTTATTTAGCTATGAGCGAATTGAGGTGAGTCTCCTCACTGTACCTGTGGGTTGAAGGCACCAATGCCGACCCACTAGGATTCATTATGCTAGTTTTCTTTATGAATCTTGCATGGTATGTTGGGCTAGGCCCATTGTATGACGGTCTAGGCCCATTTGTATGCTGGGTTGGGCCCATGGATCAGGAAGGGCTAGACCCATTCTATGTTATGTAGGGTGCTGGCTGTCTCTATGACTCTTGAATTTGTATGTTGGGCTGGGCCTATTGGTTTGGCAGGGCTGGACCCATTATGGTGGACTGGGCCCAATATACGGGCTAGGCCCAATGATATGTGTGGTATGTGGTGTTTTGGGGAATTCACTAAGCTTTGTGCTTATGGTTTCATGGTTATGTTTTCAGGTACTTCCTGTTCGAAAGGGAAGGGCCCGACTTGATCACAATGTATCCACCCATGTTTCCGCAATATGATAATTTTGGGATTGTACTCTGATAACTGTCTCATTATAATACACATTGGAATGTTTGGAAAAAGATAATTGGTGTTTTTGGTTGAATTAAAAATGAAATTTTTACCTCATAATTTTTTAGGACGTTATAGGTGACCTCCGGTGTTGCCATATCATCAGCTTAGGCGGTTTCTCGCAGATCTTCAGACGGCCATAACTTTCATATATGAGCTTCGTTTTCGATGTTTATTATGTCACCGGAATCCTGTCGGCGAGATCTACAACTTTCATTATGGTTTCAACATCTAATTCTTGTTCTACCAAAATTCATCTTTAGATCAGTTTAGACTGTTAAAGTCAGTGCGAAGTTCATAACTTCTTCATATGAACTTCATTATTGACTGTTTTTATATCGAAGGGTTTATATTAACGGGATATTTAATTCGTGTTTAGATTGTTTCATCTAACAATCAACATATTTGAATTTCGATTTCTATTCCCGCACGACTATGCTAAAACTTCGAAAAATCATAACTTGCTATTATGAATTTAGATTTGGACATTCTTTATATGCATGATCTTAACTTTACGACTACTATGATTTTTGTTTAGATCCCTTAGGCTAATAAATAATCTAACAAATATTCACTTTTTACAATACGATGAGGCATGCTGGTTTAATCGCGAGACTTCGAAGAAAGATAACCACTTCATACGAAGTTCGATTTCAAATATCTTTATATGTATGGATTCCTTGTCACATATACAATAACTTTGGTTCAGATTATTTATCCTAAATAATCTTCTATAAAAAAATCATTTTTTATCCTTGATTATATGTTAATTGTCTAGCCCGAATATGAGGACGTTATATATATATATATATATATATATATATATATATATATATATAGATATATATATATATATATATATATATATATATATATATATATATATATATATATATATATATATATATAATTTATTTTTATTTATTTTAAAAAACAATATGACTAAATATTTTAACTAATATGACATTAAACAAGTAATATTGTGAAAAAATATATATATCTTGTTTGTTATTATGAATTTTTATTTTATCTACCTTCAAAATATAGATATGTTTATCATTTTCATTTCAATGTATTTGGTTTAGCCCGCAACACAAATAAAGGTGATGATATGAAATATAATGAAATTGGCACTTTATCCATGAATCGTTGAATTAGAAACCTTTTTATATAAAACTTTCATTTATTAACATAAATTCTAGTAACATGTTCACGTTAAGGATGGTTTATTACTTATGTGTTTGTGACATATATATATATATATATATATATATATATATATATCTATATATATCTATATATATATATTCTAGTAACATGTTCACGTTAAGGATGGTTTAGCCAACGCAACACAAATAAAGGTGATGATATGAAAATATCTTATTATGATCTTAGCTCTTCTTATTCTAAAATACTGGTTCGGCCCCTGTTTACGAGATGATGATCAAAGGTAATCTGGTGGTGGAGGTGTAGGAGGTACAGGTGGCAATGTATATTCAGGTGGAGACTTTGGAGACTTCGGACCCTTTGGAGCTGTTGGAGCCTTTGGAGCTTTTGGAGCCTTTGGAGGGGGGGGGGGGGGGGGGGGGGGGGGGGGGGGGGGGGAGACTTCCCATGGACGTATGGTGGTGGTGGCGATGACTTAGGGGGCGGAGGTGGCGGTGGAGACTTGCCATGCATAGTTGGTGGAGTTCCATGGATGTAAGGTGGTGGTGGCGATGATTTAGTAGGCGGTGATGGAGGAGATTTGCCATGGATGGGATGATTGAGAGGCATATTTTCATAATCTGCTGTAACTGAAAAATGGATGCTTAGAGAAAGTAAGGCTACTAGAAGATGAACAATCAAAGTAGCTATTATTGGCTGCTTCCCTTTTGTTAATCCTATTTTCAGGACTGATGCTTCCATGCATGCTTCTTCCCTCTTTATAACCAAATTTTGTCCCAAAAATTACATTTATACCCTTTAATATCATTAAATAAGAACAAAAGAAGTAATATAATGTAAATAAATGTGAACCGTAACATTTAAAACGTCAATTATCATGCGTAATTTAGGAATAACTAGTAATAAATACATAATGTGTATGTTAATACGATAATAATGATAAATTGATGAACTTTTGTCAATATCATATATCTGCAAAATAGTCATTATTGGAAATTGTTTCAAATATTTAATTGAGAACATACCACTATGTAATAACATATGCTAGTCGACGGAGTAACACTCTTGCACATATCTTGAATTTTTTTTGTGACCTAAAGTATAAAAATAAAAATTATACTTTTATGTATGCTTAAGTATTATTAGACTACAATAACATAAATCTTAAACGGAACTTTTTAATTAAGTGTCTTAAGTCTTCACACCTCTTAATAATCCTGAAGAAGCAAAATGCAGGAAACAACATGCTTCGAGTTCAAACTAACAAACTTCCTTATAAATCAAGTGGAAGTTACTGATTCACATGATTGTTGATATTTGTATTTCATCATCACATGTAAACGAAGTATTATAATTTGGTGTAAATTACACGAATCATTCCTCGTGTATGTGTCAAAAGGCACGCCCAATCCTTATTTTAAAAAATTAACTCAAATCGTCCCTCATTTGTTTAAAATTTGCATGTTTCATCCCTCCTAACATGAAAATAACTATATTGCCCTTAATAATATATTTTTTCATTTACTTTTTATTTGTTATAATTTATTCACTATTATTTATTAATTATATTTTTTAGAAAATAAAATCACTCGGTCTCTCTCTCTCTCTCTCTCTCTCTCTCTCTCTCTCTCTCCTTCTATTTAATTTTCTAGAAAATATATTTCGTCTTTCTCCTCTTAACCATCCATAAACCATGACCACTACCATTTGATGAACCCTAGATCAGATTATCAAACAAAAGTCAAACCCCAAAACCTACAAATCATTAGAAGATGCAGTGAATCGATTGCTTGGAAAGAGTTTACGAATCTGAAAGGTATCCACTAGCAGTAATAGGAAAATCCATCAAAGTTTCAAGCCCGAGTTGGAATCAGATGAATGATTTGAGTCCATGTAGGATCCCTGTTCCTCCTAATTGGTGGTATGAAGATGTTTCACCCCTCAAAATCGACCACTTTGTTCGTGTAATCATTATGATTAAGTCAAGGTATGCGTTTTGAATTCTTTAGAGCTGCAATAACTCACTACACCACTAAAACGCTTTCAGAGTTGATAAATAAGAGAGTAGTGGTAGTTTGGGTGAAGAAGGAAGTAGAAGTGGTAATGGTTGCATGGTGTTTTTCGGCAACTAGAATGACAGACTACACATGATCTCAAACACCACCACCACTATCTCAGATCCGGATTTAGATCTAAAACTCAAACCCATAGGTCGACAGAGTAAGGGTTACTAGAAAGAAGGAGATCTAGAAGAAGAAAATTCATATAGGAGAAGAATTATAATCGACATTGGATTCTATCCATCTTCTTCGCCTACAACTCTAGTTCCGATACAATAAAAATCAGTGGTAGTCGTATAGATCTGATAGTGAGGTAGATCTAGGTGTATGAGACTGAAGGAGAGAAACCGAGTGAAGAACATATCTATTATTTTCCTGGGTGCTCCATTTTCTGGTGGTTATGCAAAATTTTGGAGGTATTGCTCGTTTTCCTATGATGGTGTAACATCCTGATTTTCATGGAAAAATTTTCACTTTTATTTATTAAAATATATTAGAGTATGATTACATTGTGTGGAGACATGGAATGCGTGTGTGTATAGTCAAACGGAATGCGTGTGTGTATAGTCAAACATTGCTCTTCTCACAGTCACTAAAGTAACTGCAAACCATTTTTATTTAACTGGGTAAGCACGAGGCTTAGTGAGTTTACAAAAAAGAAAACCATATACTACAATACATATACATGCATACAAATAACAACTCACGATCTACAAATAAGATGTATATTTTGGAATACGCGGGAATGTAGGTTCCAAGTCTCTTTAACCGTTCCACCATCAACCCTTACCTAAGTCTAATATAACAACAATTACGCATATAGAGACCACACTTTAAATTCTACTAATACATGCACATTGATACTTTCTACTTAACCAGGTCACACTTATGCACATAGAGATTATACTACTAGCTCTACTCTACTTGTTCCATATCCTAACATACATGGATATATATATTATAGCACATAGTATAGTGAGATAACTCATCTGGACAATTACTCCTAAGATTCACAAATATCCCTCCGGCGTAACGGGTAATGCGTCTAACATATATTAACCTAGAATACTATAGCTTATTATTTCCTACGATAATCTAATGATGAAAGCTAGATCCATCACTAATCCCAATGAATACTGAGAGTTCTATAAAATAAGGATTAGTCAGACAGGACAGTTGGGAGGCATGATCATTTTGGTGTATAGCCTTTCTAAAATCCAACAACCAATCCAACTTGATCATTCTAGACACCTCTCCCGTAAGTAGATCATTCAACCTTATAACTAGAATTACTGATAAATCTTATTTATTTATACATAACAACGACTATGAATATTAATATAAGTTACACTAAAAGCATAACTTAACTTCCAAGGATCCTAGCGAAAAGCAGGATTTGCGTTGGCAAAACTTTGACCTAAAAGCCTCTATTTGTCAAGCTACTAGATACCACATAGTCTTACTAATATACCCTAATAACTAGAGAAACTCAAGCTCAAAATTTTAGAGGAATTTAGAGAGAAGCAAGGGTTGAATGTGAGGAAACGGTGCAAGTTTGAGAGGTATTTATAGACTGATTCGGGATGTGCTCCACACACATGGTATGGTGTGCGCCGTGCACATAGTTGGGGGTGCTGACATGGAGTCGTATGGGTGGTGACACATGTCACGATATTGTGGTATGTAAGAGGCGTGCCACGACGTGCGTGCCTGCCGATGAATTTTTATAAATATTTAAAAATGTATATCCTCTTCATAAGAGCTCCATTTTCGATGTTCTTTATATTCACCCGTAGCTATTGATATTCACAAAAGTACCTACTAGTCTTAAATTTATAACCTAACAAACTCATACTAACTATGCACCTATATGAAGTGTACCTAGTCAGATTATAGTATAGCTCAGGTAAGTAGGGTGTCGATCACAGGGAAGGAAATTCAATTAAATAAATTAACTACTTTTAATTAAACTATGAAACAAACTATGATTTGGGGGGGGGGGTTACTATTTTTTCAAGACCGGAATAACTTAATATTACCTAACAAGTAAGCAAGCAACAAAAACAAATCAACTTTAAGAATTAAAAGAATACTTTTGCCTAGATCCGATTTCACTTTCTCCTATGGTTGATTTCTAATGGATAGATTATAATGGTTACCAATTATCTAGTTATTATGATCAAATATCTAGGCCTACCAATTTATGAATGACAAAGCAATGATCATGTATAAGCTAAGCACCAAATTGAGAATAGCACAATTGGACTATTAATGATAATAGTTACTCTCTTATGCTCAATCAAGCAACCAAGCGCCAATTTAGACTAATTATGCTCTCCAACACAGTTAAATTTACTAGCTTTAATTACTTAAACTAATATGTGATTAATCTTAGCTCTAACTATTTAATGATCATAAACAATTAGGAGATAATAGCACAATTGGACTATTAATGATAATAGTTACTCTCTTATGCTCAATCAAGCAACCAAGCACCAATTTAGACTAATTATGCTCTCCAACACAATTAAATTTACTAGCTTTAATTACTTAAACTAATATGTGATTAATCTTAGCTCTAACTATTTAATGATCATAAACAATTAGGAGATAAATTCATGTAGTTAATATGATCAATTAGCACACAAAATCTGATTTATAAACAATATAAGCTAAAACTAAACATGCTAGGGTTTATAAATATCAAACACAAGTAAAATCAAATATAATCATCTGACATCGAAATCAAGACCTATGGATCAAGTTCATCTTCAATAAACAGACGGCAGAAACGTCCGGGGGTGGATGACTTCATTTGTAGTATCACAACACATGCATTATGGTAATCAAAGTACAAACAACCATTGCATTAATAAGTATAAGTTTTTACATGTGTTCAATCAATGTATATTGACACCAAAATAGTTATACAAAGGAAGAAGACATGATTCCAAATAGTTCCATCTTCTCAAAAGTTCGGGGAGTACCTGTCTACTGATTCCCTGAGAATACAAGTAATTTGAAAAGAGAGTATCAACATAAAGTTGAGTGAGTGCATAAGTATTTATGTTTGAAAGTATGTTTTCTTTTGTCTTGAATATGTAAACTGTTCTAGAAAATCCTATATTTTCTGCTGTATATGAAGTAGTTTTAATCACATAAAACCGTTCTGTTTGTAAACCAGTGTTCTGTTTTTGTATCCTTTTTTATAATCTATAAAAGTGAGTGTGTCTGGCTTCACCAGCTGTTATTGAATACTGAGATGTAATACTGTAAACTGTATTTTTGGTAAATTGGTACTTTGAAAATGTACTCATGTTTAGTTAATTATACACTAACCGTATTGTTAATATCTTTTTAATGAGTTGTTATAACCATAATGAGATTAGATGGCCTGAAACAACGCTTTGAAGGCGTTACAAACTGTTGATAACAACTTTCACTCGTAGGCGTGTATGCCCGTCTGTAGCTAGCAATATGTGTGCGGGGTTGTCAATCCCATTATAGATCTATACACACTTGTTTCGATACCTGATTGGAGATTCCGGTTATAATGTCAGGACTTTAACTATGTTGTCTAAATGAATAAACAACCTGAATCTATTGACTCATAAAAAGCATATAGACGTTACGTGTATAATATAAGTGAAAACTCAATCATTTTGAAATAAATGATTGATA